ATTTTTGTTTAGGATTATTAATCCAATGGATAATTAATCCAACAAATTTGTAGGATTATTAGTAATAGGGTAGGGGTGGGATTATTAATCCAATGGATATTAATCCAATTGGATAGTGAATACCACACTAATTTACTAGGACTATTAATACTTCACTATTAATATTGTGAATCAAACATGACCAAAGAGGGGAGAGATTTAGAAGAAGTTCGAGAGGGATTTTGAAAATATAAACCCAAGGTAAGAAATCTAATGCTCTTTGTTAAATTATTGCCTTCTGATTCGTCTATTTTGGTTTTCATAACTTAAAATATAGAAATAATGTAATAAAATCCTAAAATAGAACCCTAGGTGGTTATACTTATATTCACGTGGATTTTTGACAAATCTTAAAATGAGACCTTAAGTTGATAAATACTTGCCTACTATGACTACCTTATGATATGGTTTGAGTTTTGTCTCTCTCAGCACTTATTATATTTTCAAAAGTTAGCCATATGTTCTTTGTGGAAATCATGTCAATTGTTTTAAATCTCGAAATTTGTTTCTTGCTATCAACACTCGGAAATGGATTTTATACTATTGTTACACAATTGTGCTTTTACTGAATAATTCTTTATGGCATGTGAAGCCACTCCAGGATTTAGACTATTCACTGATCTTATTAGCTTACCCGTTGTTTCACCATTTCAAGTAATAAGGCTTGAGGAGGTGATCACAGCTTACCCGTTGTTTCATCATTTCAGGTAATAAGGCTTGAGGAGGTGATCATGGAGCTTCCTTCGACCCTTTTTGTATATGTTAAAAATTCCCTTTTGTTCATGAAGACTTTGCTTGGCTTGGTGTCTTTGTTATTTATATTATGGCTAGTATCATGTTTTGAGATATACTTTTGATGTATGTATATTTGTGTGTATACCTTCTTTCGCCTATGGCGGCCACATGGTTACCAGCTAGTCACAGATCTGAATTCCAAAGAGGGTGGGGTTCGGGTCGTGACAATGTATTTTTATATAATTTTGCTGTCTTTTCTTAAGAAAAACAAAACTGGTGTGTTTTAAGTATTTATGAACTGAACTTGCCTACGGATTGCCTTCATTATATTTTTTAATGGAAGAGGTTAAATGTTTTGTTGTAGCTTCATTTTAATAGGACTTACGTTGGGAGCCTATTTATTGTCTTAATATTTCCATTTTTTATAATACTAGGAAGAAGAGTACTCAAACCATGTTTAGCTTTACTTGCAATCATCTGCAAATTACAGGTTTCGGTTAAATTTAAGAGACACTAGTAAGAGTTGAACCTAGATATCTGGATTTACTGTTCATCTCAAAATCCAATTTCTTTACTGCTAAGTTACTGTGTCAGTTCAATATAGATATATTTGTACAGAGTGTAATGCTATATAAATAGATTTTGTGCTCAAACGTTGTGTATGGGACAATGTGAAGTAGCTTATTTGATTATCATGACTTCAAGATAAATTATTAGCCCTCTACAGTGCTATACCTGTTGTGTAAAATATTTATCTTCCAAAAGTGCTTTTTACACAAAGAAAGTTATAGAAAAAAAAAAATTCAGAGGGTTACATCCTCGCATAAACTATCCCCACCATGTTGGCAACTAGCAGTGGGCTAATGTGTTAGGTTGGTACTCCATCACTGGTAGGTCCTCAACTTGATTCTCTCCCATATGAGTTAGCATGTTTGCACATCTATTGCCTTCACGAAAGACATGTTGAGAGTGCAACCTGTTCTTTCATATGGTCATATTCTCTTATCAATTGCTATTCATTATATCTCTTCATGTTCATTAATCTTCCAATACAAATAATCAATACTCTTTCTTTGCCAATCATACTTAGCACCATGTAGCCATATTTCCGGACTATCGAATAATCATCCTTTCATTTAGTTGATCTCATGGACACTCCTATTTAAGAAGTTAGGGTTTAGCTCGTGAATAATACTATATGCACCAATTAATGTACTAACTAGTGTACCGATTGATAATGTGGCATAATTTAATAAGTTTTTTAGTATTTGTAATGTGATTAATGAGTAGAGTCAATAATAATGTCATAACTAGTGTTGGTATATTAATTAGTACACTAATTAATGCATCTAGTACCACCATTAATTCTTGCCTGAGGTAAAATTTCTTTCTTATTATGAGGATTATATTGAATTGTTTATTTCTACTTATTAATGGGCCATTCTTAGTGATTGTTGGGTTTGTAAAATGACCATTTCAACGTTTGGGGATTGACTCACATTCAGATTCTATTCTGTAAGTTTCATTTTGAACTCCCAATGACAATTTAAAAGTAAGTTGTGTAAAAAACAGAAAAAATTACTGTTCAGTTAGAGAAAAAAATATCACAAACATGCAACTTTTTTACTATTTTTGTTTTAAAATATTAGTTCTTTATTATATTTTTTTTTTGGTTCCAAAAAATTAAGCCTTTTTCAAAAATTAAAAAATAAAATAATATAAATTTACTATTTTATTCTTCTTTTAAATTCATTAATAACACAAAATATATAATTATGACAATTGATATTTTAAAAAAAAAAATGTACTATCAAAAATAATTTTAAAATTTTAAAATATAATAATTGTAGTATAAAAAAAATATTAAACTCCCCAAAAAGAATCATTATCTTGGAACACGGAAAGAGTAACTTGTATCCCACCATAGAATGAATTACACTTCTGTTTTTATTTTATTTTTTTCTTTCTTGTGTTCCAGTGATTCCTCCTAATTTTTTTTTTTTTTTTTATCAAACATCACTTTCACATGAAATTATATTTTACTTTTTAAAACAAATCACAATTATGAATTTAAATTTAAACCTAAAATAAACTGTGACATCTGCTCTCCATCTGTGTTTATGTGAAATGAAGCTCACTCTCTTCTGTCAATCTCTCTCGCCTTTGTTTTTCAAGTTACTGAAAGCTCAATAATCTCCATGAATTCTAGCTTTATACATACGGTACGCTTCTTTTGATCTTCCTCTGTGTAGATCGAGCTTGAAAAGAAAGATTAATTTTACTTGCTGTTTGATAGATATCCAGTTCAATTTTTTGCTCTGTTTGTTGCTTTCTGTATTGTAATTTCATCTTGTATTGCTTCTTGATTTCTATCAATCAATCAAAAACCCAAACCCTAAAAGAGGAAAGGAAAGGGGGAAAAAAAAGTGTGAAATGGCTGTGGAAAATTCTTCTGTTTGGGGAAATTTTGATAGAGTAAGAAATTCCTTCCGTCCACCATTCGGATTTGTGGAGTTCAAGTCACGAATTTCCACTCTGAAATAGGTAATTGAGACACTAACAATGATGAGATCAACATCATTGGAATATGTGGTATCAATGGTGTTGGAAAAACAACAATGGTGAAACAAGTTGCCGTGAAAGCCCAAAAAGAAAATCTATTCGATGAGATTGTTATGGTAGTGTCAGGGTCCTTGAGTAACATTCAATGCCAAATAGCCGACCAATTGGGTTGAAATTGGAGGGAGAGACTTTAATTGAAAGAGCTGCTTGTCTGCATCGGAGACTAGCAAATGGTAAGAGAATCCTTCTTGCACTTGATGAGCTTTCAGTAGAGCTCGTCTTTTATCAGAGGGTTGATCTTGAGGCCATAGGGATTCCGATTCGGGGCGAAAATAGGGGTTGCAAAGTTGTGCTGACATCAGAAGCGGATTTTGTTTGCAGTCAAATGGGAGCCCAAAAGAAAATTCAAGTAAAACCCTTGACAAAAGAAGAAGCATGGCATCTTTTTAAGGAGATGGCTGGTGATTCTGTTGATGCTCCTGACATCCGATCAATAGCTGAGCAAGTGGTAACTGAATGCCTAGGTTTTCTACTTGCACTCAGAGCTATTGGAAGAGTGCTAAAAAATAAATCCAATTTTGTATGGACTGATGCACTCAAACGATTAAGAGTTGATAATCAAGAACTAGAAATTTTGGAACATCTAGAGACACGGAAAGAAGAAACGGCTGGTCCACATCTTTGTTTAAGTTATGATAGTTTAGAAGACGAGGAAACGAAGTCGTTGTTTTTGCTATGCTGTTTATATCCGGTGGATCGTGATATTCATATTGAAGAATTCGTTAGATGCAGAATGGGGCTACGTATTTTCAAAGATATCAATGGATTGGAAGAAACAAGAAATCGAGTACGATTGTTGGTTGATCGGCTAAAAAGCTATTGTTTGTTATTAGATGGTGACAAGGATGAGAATGAGAGCGTCAAAATGCATGATATAGCGCATGAGGTTGGCAGAACTGGTAAGAATGCTTTTTTTATACTGCACGGACATTACTTATGAAGGTTACACTTCCATTTCAGTGATATTGGATAAAATTACAGAGCTACCAGAATCGTTAAGATGCCCAAAACTCAGGATGTTACTGTTAGCATGCATGAATAATTCACTAAAAACACCAAACAGTTTTTTTGAGGGTATGAGAACATTGCAAGTTCTATATTTGGAGCTCTCCATTGCGTTGCTGCCGTCATCAGTTCAGTTTCTGAGAAACCTGCATACTTTGACTTTGAATCTTCCAAATTACGAGTTGGAAAACATAACTGCAATAGGAGAGCTATTGAATCTGGAAATCCTCAGCTTGTGTGCTCCCTCTGTCAAGGTGTTACCAGAAGAAATAGGAAGACTTGCTAATTTGACATTGTTAGATCTAACAGGATGTCATCGTCTTGAAAGAATATCACCGGGTGTCATTTCAGGCCTAGTCCGATTACAAGAACTGTACATGATGGACAGCTTTAGCAATTGGGAAGCCGACAAAGGAGAAAGCAAAGAAGGAAGAAGAAATGCAAGCCTGAGAGAGCTACAGTCCTTGTCCGATTTGAAAATATTAGAGATTTATATGCCCGATGCAGCGCTATTGCCAAGAAACCCTCTCTTTGCAGATCTGACGAAATACAAGATACGGATAGGTGATAATGGCTGGTGGAGCGTGTTCCCATTCCAAAAGCATTTGTTATTGAAACTCGATAAGAGTATTGCTTTGCATGGTGGGGTTAGTAAGCTATTGAAGTGTACTGAGCTTCTAACTTTAAGAGGGAAGGGCTCAAGGAATGTGGTGCATGAGTTAGTTCAAGATGGCGTCCAGCACTTGAAGTACTTATCAATTGAGTCTTGTGATATGCTTTTTTGTCTTGTTGATACAATGGATTTATCACTTGATTCCAGTGCTGCTATTTTCCCCATCATGGAGTCATTAAAGCTTGATGATTTGCGTAGGTTAAAAGAGATATGCTGCGGCCAACTTCCAGAAGGGTCCTTTGGGAAACTAAGAACATTGATATTACAACTCTTACCTTCTTTGACGCATTTCTTGGTGGAGGATCCAGCTCAAACTACTGTCTCCCTCCATAATCTGAGATCTGTTGAGTTAGATCGCTGTAATGGCTTGCGAAATCTCTTTTCATTGTCAATGGCACGAGGGCTTGTGCAACTTCAAGAACTTCGCATATCGCATTGTGAAATGATGAAAGAAGTTATTTGGGAACGAAGAGGAGAAGATGGGCATGCAACCAACAAGATTGAATTCCCTCGTTTAGAATACATGGCACTTATACAACTAGAAGGCCTCACTGGTTTCAGCAGAGGAATTGACAAGATTGAGTTCCCTCAACTGAAGAAATTGCACATCAAATGTCTACCAAAGATCATGAGTTTCTTTCCCAATGAGAGTACACTACATTCAGATGAAAACTGCAATGCTACCTTGCAATCTATTTTCCCCCAACAGGTAATGTTTATATGTTTTTTATTTGTTTGTTTGTTCTAAACAACAAGAAAGTAATCATTAAGTTCTTAGGACAACAAATATCTACATCTATGATGCATGTATATCTCGTTTACTTGTCCCAAGATTTTGATTGATCTTATTCCACTTCCCAGTAGTACAATAATAAAGGTTTCTCATGTCAAGTAGCAAGAGCAAGAAACTATGTTTATAGCCAAACTTAAGCAAAGTTAGTATTTCTATAGCTGTTGAACAATGTGAATTATAGAAAGTGTTTTTCAAAGACGAAAATGTTAAAATATATGTTCTCTTTAGAATTTTAAAATTTTCAATATTATGGAAGAAAAGTTTAATCATTGTTACAAAATTATGTTAATAGCATCATAATTCAGAAGTATAAAATGTTTCAAAATTTCCAGTATATAAGATGTACTCAATTATTGTGAACTTTTGGCATCAAATAATTTTAAAGTAAATTATGGGTTTTCCAGATTGAAGCCGATGTTAATCCTATTTTCAATGCCATCTTAGTGAGTAAAAGGATTTTCATTACAAAGCAACTATCTTCTAGTGCAAGATTTTTGGTGAATGAGAAGGTGACGGTTCGGGTTTGGAACAAGATTAAACCTTTAAACATGCGGATGTGTGTTTGCTGTGAGCCCCAATAAACCCGGTTTGACTTGACTAAGTTCTGTGTTTTGTTTTCTCTAGGTTGAAAATTTTCAGTTGAAGCAAATGGCGTTGTTAAAAATGCCTTGGCAAGGGCCAACATAAATCTAGGAATTAAACTCACCAATTTATTAGTATTTTACACTAGTTTGGGTTCCTAAAGATTTCCTGTTCATAAATTAAGAACCAGAAGAAAAACTGTAATTTATAAAAATAGTGATATCTTTTTTATGTTCTTCTTTTTCAATTTTTTGCTTTCAATCTGTTCTAAACATATATAATAGTTGTTGGGACAACTATAGCTTTTTCTTTTCTTTAAAAAAAACTATGCCTTTTCCCTTGTCAATAAGAGTTTTGTACGATGCAACATAAGAAATAATAATGTCAAGTAGATGCAGTGATAAATAATTGCCTTATCCAATATTTAGATTGTTAACTGTATTAATCTTTAACAATTGGGCACCATGTGGAATTGTAATGTTATGTTTGTGGAGACAACAATTATTACCTCTATGGAATGTTCTTGTGTAAAAATATAGTTTTGGGCCTTCCTGGATAATCTAGAAATTGTTGCAACTGATTGCTAAGGGTCCACAGAATCCAAGGCCAGTGCATTTTATATTTAAATGACAACCTCTCTTCAAGGAAAGGTAATAAAAGAAGTTTGAGTGCTAATAAGTCTAGAGTTACAAGTTTCTGTTCTCCTTTTTGTGATTCTTTTTAACAATACAGAACACTTTTAAATATCTGCTTGTAAATACAATTATTTTTTTTGCAGGATGCATTTCCCAGCTTGGAGAAATTGGAACTTGTTGGATTGCTAAATGCGAGTGACTTGTGGGGCAGTGAACTTTCAACCGAATCATTCTGTAAACTTAGATCCCTCTAGGTGGAAGACTGTCATGGATTAGTGAAAAATGTTGTTCCAGTTAATATAATAAAAATGTCACCCAATCTAGAAAAAGTAAAAATATATAACTGTGATTCGGTGGAAGATGAAGATGTATTCGGATTTGGAGGCCGCCAAGGAATTCCTGTTGCAAACATAAGAAGGTTGATTGTTAGATGTTGTGGCAGCTTGAGAAATCTGTTCCCTCCTTCCATTGTTAGAGGTCTCATGCATCTCCAAGAACTAACAATAGATGGTTGCTCAATGATGGAAGAAGTTATTTGGGAAGGAAGAGGAGAAGATGGGCATGTAACCAACAAGATTGAATTCCCCCGTTTAGAAAACATTTCACTTACAGAACTAGAAGTCCTCACTGGTTTCAGCAGAGGAATTGACAAGATTGAGTTCCCTGAACTGAAGAAATTGCGCATCAAATATCTACCAAAGGTCAAGAGTTTCTTTCCCAGTGAGAATATACTGCATTCAGATGAAAACCGCAATGCTACCTTGCTCTCTATTTTCCCCAACACGTATATTCATATATAAATATATTCAAAAGCAAGTAATCATTAAGTTCTTAGGAGAACAAATATCTACATCTATGATGCATCTGTCTCTTGGTTACTTGTCTCGAGATTTTGGTTGATCTTATTCAACATTCCAATAGTACAATAAGTTTCTTATGTCAAGTAGCAAGAGGAAAAAATTATGTTTATAACCAAACTTCCCGCCTAGTTGCTATGCGAAGTTCGTATTTCAGTGACAGTTGGACGATGTGAATTGCGATGCACAGGATAGTATCATAGAAAGTGGTTGAAAATGTTAAAACATGTGTAGTAGAAGAATCTCTTTAGAATTTAAAATTTTCAATTTTATGAAAGTATAGTTACGAAATTGTTAATAGCATCATAATTCAGAGTAGTATAAAATGTTTCAGAACTCCCAAGTATATAGATGTACTTAATCATATGAATCTTGGCATGATAAAATGATTTTAAATTAAATTATGGGGTTTCCAGATTGAAGCGGAGTGCTAATCTAATCATATTGCCATGCCATTTCGGATGTGGAGAAACTAAGTCAATTCTAAAAGTTTGGCAAACACGCCCTTATATGGGAGAGGAGGGGTGGGGGGTCTTCCTATCACTGCCGTCCATCTTGGTGACCAAAAATGTTTCCATTACAAAGCAGCTCTCTTCTAGTTCGAGTTTTTAGGTGAATGAATGAGAAGGAGGTGTGGTTGGGGACTGGAACAGGATTAAGCCTTTAAGTATGTAGATGAGTGTTTGTTGTCAGCCCCAACCAGCCCGGTTCTACTTGACTAACCTTGTTTTTGATCTCTACTGGTTGAAAATCTTCAGTTGAAGGGCTTAGTTGAGAATGCCTAAATCTAGGAATTAAACAAGCCACTAGTTTGGGTTATTAAAGATTTCCAGCTCATAAATTAAGAATAAGCAGAAAAACACAAATTTACAAAAATAGTGATATCTTTATTATGATTTTCTTTTTCAAATTTTTGTTTTCAATCCATTATAAAAGTATATAAAAATTGCTAGGACGACTATAGATTTTTCCTTGTCAATAAGAAAGTCTTGTACATTGTACAACAAAAGATACAATAATGTCAAGTGGTTGCAGTGATGAATCATTGCCGAATCCAATTTTAAATTGTTAAATGTGTTGATGTTTAACAATTGGAGGCCATGTTCTTGTGTAAACATATAGCTTTGACAAGTGGTACCTTCCTCTCTTCTGATTAAATTAGACGGTGGGGTCTATCATATTTATGTTGGTGTTTGGAAGATAACACGGGGCATAATCATTTGTGATTGGTTGGAGGGTACCACATGACTTTGCCATGTGTACTCTGTTGGTATATAATAAATTTTTTTTTTAGTTTTGGGCCTTCCAGGATAACCTAAAAATTGTTGCACCTTGTTGCTAAGGGTCCACATAATCCAAGGCCAACAACTTTTCCATTAAAATGACAATCTTCATAACCTCATGCAAGCTTACTTGAAGGAAAGGCAATTGTAGAAGTTGAGTGCTAATTATAAGACAAGAGTTACAAGTTCTGTTTTTCTTTTTCTGTTTGTTTTTAACATTACATAATACTTTCAACAGTATTCTTGTTAATACAATCATTTTGTTTGCAGGTTGTATTTCCTCACTTGGAGGAATTAAAACTTGTTGATTTGCCAAATGCAAGTGACTTATGGTGCAGTGAACTTTCAACAGGATCATTCTGTAAACTAAGATCTCTCGTGGTGAGAGACTGTCACGGATTAGTAAGAAATGTTCTTCCTGCTCATATATTGAAAGTGCCACCGAATCTAGAAAAAGTGGAAATATATAACTGTGATTCGGTGGAAGAGGTATTCAGATTAGGTGGCCAACAAGGAAATCCCCTTGAAAACATAAGAACCCTAATTGTTAGATGTTGTGGCAGCTTGAGAAATATGTTCTCTCCTTCTGTTGCTAGATGTTTTGTGCATCTTCAAGAACTAATAATACATGATTGCTCAGCAATGGAAGCAGTGGTGGCAATGAGGATGAGGAACAAATGGGTGGAGATAGGATTTACGTTACTCTGTTCGCTCAATTGAAACATTTGGAACTCAGAGATCTACCCTCACTCGGGAAGTTTTGCCATGCTATTCATGACTGGGAAATGCCATCTTTACATCACTTGGAAGCCGTTAATTGCCCTGAAATGCAGACTCTCTCTCCTGGATTCGTGCATGCCCCAAATCTATATCATGTAAAAGTGGAAGCAAAATCGATCCGGATAAAAAGAGATCTCAATAAGACCATTCAACACTTTTTTGAGAAGATATGTTCGTTCTCGCTGTTGATAAATACTTCATTTTCTCTTCCATTAAGCATATTTTTATGTAATCTTAATTAGAAAAATTTAAGCCATATTTTGCTGAATTTGATGATTGGCAGCAAGGTTCTGAAAAATGGTTGCGGTCGCCGTAACGGTGGTGGTGATGCGGTTGCGGTTGCGGGGTGTAAAGGCCGTAGCGTAACGGTTGCGGTAACTGGAACCGTGAATTTTTTTATTTTTCGCATAATTTGAAAAAAACTTATCGATACGCACATTTTTTTTCCATGATCATATTTATTGGGTTTTAAAATAAATATTGATTAATTTTTATAAATTTTTAAGTTTGATCCAATTAAGCACATTTTTTTTCCATGATCATATTTATTGGGTTTTAAAATAAATAATGATTAATTTTTATAAATTTTTAAGTTTGATTCAATATATTTCACATTTTTAAATCACTATGAACCGAGTTTTTTACATTTTATTTTAATAATTAATGACTTTATATTATACAAAAAATCAATCACTACCTATTATATATTAGATAAATAATGACAAATGTAAGAGAATAAATAAAAACCTAAATATATATATATATATATATTAATCAAGCCAAATAGATAATGACCACACTTATTATTATTATTATTATTATTATTATTATTATTATTATTATTATTATTATCATTTTCAAACAATATATAGATAGATACACACAAACAAAATGGTTGAGTGATAACAGCTGAATAGAATAGCATAGGTCTTACAATTTTAACAAATCAATAACATGTTGTTCATCTTCCCTATTCTCTCTCTATCTCTTGTTCCTCCATCTTCCCTATTCTCTCTCTATCTCTTGTTCCTCCATCTTCCCTCTTCTCTCTCTATCTCTCTTCTCCCATTTTGAACTTTTTTTTTTTTTGTATTTTTTCGAAAGAAGCAATTTAAAACCGTTATGTAACGGTGCGTAACAGGCCGTTACGGCACCATTACGACCGCTATAGCAGCTGCTACGGCCGATACACCTGTGAATCTCAATCACACTGCAAAAGTGGCCATAACGGGTGTCGGTAACTACCACGACCATTACGTAACAGCGTTACGTAACGGTTGCGGCCACTTTTTAAAACCTTGATTCGCAGTCTCAACATCATGACCCTTTTCCCCAATAGACCAACAATTTTATGAATGGGACAAAATAAAAGAATATTTTCATGGTGAATTTTCCAATACTGCCAACGTGTAGAGGGCCAGACCACACACGCTGAAGTTTTTGGAGATTGATCTCCAAACAAACTCTTGTCATTCCATCAATTTTTAAACTTATTACAATTTTTAGTGCAATAAAATTCATGCCTTCTATAAATGGAGATTCCATATCAAGTTATATTTTGGTGCAATTTGAAAAAATCCCATGGTGAAACTGCCATGTTCATATTTTTTGGGGTGAATGCCATGTTCATATTTTCTGAAGCCAAATCCTTGAGAAAGTTGTCATCATTGAATAGACTACTGTCAAAGATGGAGTAGTGGCTGACTTCTATTCCAGTAGTAGAGGGATCCAGGACTGGATTTTCGAGTTTAGGAGACCTCTGTTGGCTTGGGAAGAGGAGGAGGTGAATAGGTTACATACCGTCCTCAGGAGTGCACCGGCTGTGAGGGTCATGTCGCCCGATATATGGATGTGGAGGGCTAATTCCTCTGGGATGTATACTGTTGCTTCAGGTTATAGAAACTGTGAATCATTATTGGGTCCTGATAGGAAAGTGACAAGGGAAGTTTGGAACAACTGTGCACCACCAAAAGTTAAATTCTTTGGGTGGTTGGCTTGGTTAGGCAAGTTGAAAACATTCAGCTATCTCCAAAGAATTGGGATTTTAGATGAGGCTGCCAATGTTAGTTGCGCTTTCTGTCAAAACGAGGTGGAATCGGTCAACCATATCTTGCTTTTTTGCCCATTTGTCTGGCTACTGTGGTCTCAGATTTTGAAGTGGTGGGGTGTTCAGTGGGTGATGCCAAACTCAGTGGAAGGGCTATTGCAGTGGTGGTCATTTTGCAAGATGAAGAAGCTTGAGAAAGTGATGTGGAAGGCTGTGCCTATGGCTGTCCTTTGGTCCATTTGGAAGCATCGGAATGATTGCATCTTTAATGGTGCTCAACCAAATTTAGAAGATTTATGTGAGGTTGTCAAAGTAAGAATCGCCTCGTGGGTAAAATCCTCCCCAGCCAAAGTGGAGTTCTCCATTAATGATATAGTTTTTAATTTGCAGCAGGTTCACTATTGTTTAAGGCAGGGGAGCTGGGCATAGGCTGTCTTGATGCAATCACTGGACAGTGGTTTTGAGGGTGAATGTTGCTGTCTGCTGTATGTTGCTACCTTGATGCATCCACCAGGTTCATTATGTTGCTGTCTGATATATGTTGCTGTCTGTTTTGGTTGCTAATCTGGTTGCTAATCTGTTAGAGTACAGAGGACAGTGGTTTTGGAGGACAGTGGGCTTAAGTGTGCCTCTGTTCAGTTGTTCATCTGCTAGTAATCAGGAGTGATGCATCAGAAATGGAATGCTGCTCTGTTGGGTGCTGAGAAGTGATGTATTACCTAATGGCACTTGACCTAAGGCAGCATACAATAGCTGTTGAATGACTCTAGTGTTGCTAAGAGCTTGCAGTTACTCTTGGATATAATTTGCTTGGTACAGTGCATAGATTCAGTGGAGTTTCTGGTGTGGTTGTCCTGTTGCTGGATGCATAAAGTCTGGTTGATGCTGTGGGAGAGTATATGTTTTGCTTGCTCTCTCTCTGTAGGCTGAATGGTAGCTGACCTGTGATGTGTACTGCTGGTCTGGTCTGGCCGTGCTTACTGTGATGGGGTTGTTGAGGCATTCTGCTTGTGTTTGAGGTCACATAGTCTTGGCAGCTGCTATCTACTACTGGTTTTCTGCAGTATGGTTTGGGTGTTTTGTCTCATTTCTGCGCTCACTCAATGGTTGATCTGCTGGTCTGCCTTGCTCAGTGGCCTGCACCAGTAGCTGGAGTGGATGTAATTTAACTGGCATGAAAGGTTCAGTGAGGTTGATGGAAGTTATTGTCATGCAAGGTTCATTGCTGGTGCATTACTGCTGTGAGGAATGGTCCATTACTGGCATGAAAGGTTCTATTTTGCTGGTATCTGTTTTGGTGCTTGGAAGGGCTGACTGATCTGTCTGATTTAATTTTTCTGGTTTTTGCCTTTGCTTTGCGCGTTGGTTTCTCACCAACTAGGAGGTTGGAGCTTGTTATAGCTCCAAGCTCCTCTTTACTGATGTAAATTTTTTCCATCAATAAAGTCTTTTTTGCCGATCAAAAAAAAAACTTAAATCACTTTTTATAAAATAGTAACGTTGTAGACCATGATAGCTGATCTCTTATTTTCATGTATGTTTATATTTCTTCTATTACTTACATTTTCACATATTTTTTTATCAATCAAAAGCTTATCTATGAGCATTCCTCTATTTGCATGACAGCAAGAAGAAGAAGAAGAACATCATGATGAAGAAGAGGAGGAGGAGGAACAGGGAGTAAGTTTCAACTGTAAACTTTTGTGTCGTAGCTTTTATGCAAATACCTTTTTTCTTTTCCGGCTTTTTTGTTTCAGCAAGTAGAGGAAGAAAGTAAACAAGAAGAAGAAAACAAGAATGAGGACAATAAAGAAGAGGAGCAACAAGGAGTAAGACTGTATTATCTGCTTTCTAGTTTCGTAAACCTTCCGTCAATCGCTTTTATGCAATTATTATTATTATTATTATTATTTTCCCGATGATTCCAATACAATTTATATATCTAGCCTACAATTTCAACTGGACGTTTTGCTTCAGAAAGAAGAAGAGGAAGAAAGAGAAGATGAACGGTAAGAAGATAAGAGTTGAGGGCAATAAAGAAGAAAAACAACGCGTACATTTCAATTGTATTATCTGTTTTCTAGTTTCCTAAAACTTTTCTATCTATACCTTTTATGCATACACTTCTTTTCTTTTCTGGTTTTTTTGTTTCAGAAAGAAGTAGAGAGAGAAGAGAAACAACAAAGAAGATAAGAAAGAGAAAAGGAAAAGAAGGTAACAATGAGGACAACAATGATGATGGTGATCCACAACAGCGATGATAACAATAAAGATGACGATTGATGACACTGAAAGGCTGATGACCGAAGTGGCAACAACATTTGATGGTGTGGTTGTGAAACCCCAATTATTTTGGGAGAGATTGTGTATATAAAATTTCCCTTTTCCAGTTTATTTCCTAGCCAGAGCAGAATAGGTGTGTCCCTAAGCCTTTCTTTTAGTAATTTTTTAGTTTTTTTTTTAACTAAAATATGGGATGAGAAAAATAATATGTTTGTGATGATTTTTTTATGTTTTTAAAAAAAAAGTGCAAAAAAATAGAAATAAAAAGGAATTTTGATTTTTTTTTTATATAGTTCTTTGACTTTTTAACTTTTGACCTTTTAGCCATTATAGGATGTTGCCAAACTTAGCCTAGGCCTCGTTTGGCAAGTGGTTATTTTATCTAAAAAGTCAAAAAATTATTAAAAAAATCAAAAAGTAAAAAATTTATATCAAAAAATTAAAAATTTTTTTTCTCTCTATTTTTTACATATCTTTTTCGTAAAAAATTAAAAAATTATTTTAAATATATTAATTTTTGTATATTATATTTTAATTAAAAATTAAAAAATTATTAAAAAAGTCTATTCCCAAATGAGATATGGTACAAGAGATTAAAATGCATGTGTTTGCTGATGCATGCTTTAAAGTGTCAAATGTGTTTGCTTTTCAGTGTTTAGATTGTGGTGCTCATGCACTTGAATGATGTTTATTGTTTTGTAGTTTAGGGTAAAGTGGTGATGGGTCCATTGTATATTTTTATAGTTGTTTAGAGGTATGTGTAATATTTTTTTAATAGTTTAGGGGTCAAGTGGTATATTTTTACTAATTTAGGAGGTTAAAGTGATACTTTTTAATAATTTAAGAAATTTTTGTATAAATAACTTTTTATAATTTTGCAAATTTTTGTTTTTTTTTTTTTTAGAGATTGAAACCAAACATCACCACTCAAAGCAAGCGTTATTTATATTGGAGGTATTTGTTTGGGTTTTTTTAAGTTAATTTATAGCTTTTAATTTTAGAAAAGTTATTTTAGATTGTTTGGTTAAATTTATTTCAGTCTCCGTTTGGGAAGTGGGTTAGCTTTTTGGTTTTTTTGATTATTTTAGTCTGGACTAAAAAGTTTGGTTTGTGAAGGGTTTTTTAGCTTTTTGACTTTTTTTGGAAGAGAAGAGTGTAATGATTATGGGTTGGATGTGATGTTTTTTTTGTTTTTTGTGACTATTTTAGTCCCAAAATCACTTGCCAAACACTATCTCAAACAGTTTCTAATTCTAATGACTTATTTTAACTCAAAAAAATTGATTCTGAGAAGCTATTTACTCCTTATTTTTTATTATCAGCTTCTACTGTGGACATGTTAATTTACGGTTATATTCTTAAATTTCATTATTTTTTATTTTTTTGAAAATAGAAAAAGATCCAAATAGATTATAAATTATTATTATTATTATTATTTATGAAAAATATAGACAAGTAGTGAATAATAAAAAATAAAAATTAATTACAAAAGTTATTTCATATCTTATTTAACAAATATTTTTTAGTAATTTAAATTTATAACTCAATAGTTTTATCAAATATATTAATAATTTTTAATTAAAATTATAATTTATAATTTGTTAAGTTATAATTTATAATTTATTTTAATAATTGCACCATATAAGACATTAACAGCAGTTTTTGGCACACAAAAAAATAAAAATGAAAAAGTTGAAAACGACAGCTTGGCACGTAGTCAGTTGGAAGGCAAGTGCTCGCCGTTTCAAAAGTGTTTGGCAACCGAGTATTGGGTATGCATACTAAGCCTAGTTTGGCATAATATAGAAAATTTTAAGGCCTGGTTTGGCATAACTTATATAATCCATCTTTTTATCTTTTTATCTTTTTTTCATCACATCACCTCTCTACTTTTCTGCACATCTTTTCGTAAAAAGACAAAAAGTATACTTTTTTAGGACACCCCAAACCAACCCTAAAAGTTATAAAGTCATTATCTTATTTAAATTATATCATTTTATTTAAATTATATTATCTCTTTATTACATCATTTTAAACTTAATCTATATTTTATATTTTTTCGTAAAAAATTAAAAAATACACTTATTTAGATCATTTCAAACCCTTCCTAATAATGAATATTGAATAATTTCTATGCATACAAATAATATTATTAAAAATAGAAGAGGTTAAATGTGATTAGTTATAAATAAATAAATAAACAAACAATCACCTTGTTTAGTTTATTGAATTTTTTTAATATTTTAAATAATTTTTTATTTTATAGATACACATAATTTAGATGTACTTAAAACATAAAATATTCATGAAAAATATTAAAATTTTTAATAAATATACAAGAATACAAAAATATATTTAATTTTTGTATTTTTTTATATTTTATGTATTTGATAAATTTTTAAAATATTTTTTTATTATAAATATTATACTTTTTAAGTTATCTAGGTTAGGTACATTTTAAAAATAAAAATAAAAAAATACGAAAAATAAAAAATTTAATTTTTTGAAAAATTGAATCAATTTTCAGAAACTAAACAAGGTAAACACCTAATAATGTTTGGACATGTATGTTTTTAATAAGATTGTTAGTAAGAGTTTAAATAGATGCAACATTGCTCTCTTTTACACCATTTATTGCTTGATACTTGTTAAATTATTTATTAAAATCTCAATTAAAAAAATAAATTGCATTTTACCTCATTTATGTTTGACTATTTTTTTACTTTAGGCCTCGCTTGAAAACTCAACTTTTTAGTTTAGAAGTAAAAAAATCACCAAAAAAAAAGTTAAAAAATGCAACAAACTATAGAGAGAAAGTCAAAATTTTATTCTCTATTTTTTATACATTTTTTTTTTTTTGTAGAAAGCTAAAAAATCATCCAAAAAATACTCAGTTTGTTTGGTTTTCTAACTCATGATTCACTTTTCAGAAAAATTGAAATTTTTTGTTTTTTGTACTTTTTAGGATTCAATTTTTTTTTTTGTTTTTAATATTTTAAATAATTTTAAAAATCTTTAGGTACACATAATATAAATACATGTAGTAAATATTGTGAAAAAAAACTTTAAAAAATTCACTAAATAACAAAAATATAAAAGAAAATACAAATTTTAATATATTTTTTATATTCTTATGTATTTATTGA